CCTGGGTAGACGTCACAACCTTGCTCGACCCAGACTCCCTAAAACGCGGTCGTGAAACATCTCGAGCACGACTTTGGCGGGCCATAGAAAATTGAGGATTCAACCAAATTCCAAAATTTTTTCGCAGAATTAGTTTAAACAGTAAGTGGATTCGTTTTAGCGAAAAAAAAATTTGGGGGTTAGGTGCACTTTAAAATTGCAAGAATGTTAATGTTGCCTCATGCTTGCGTGACCCGGAACTTGCACTAGTTTTGAATTTGAACTTGCACTAGTTTTGAATTGGATAATACCGAAATTGTGAGTCCCTAAATTGAGATTTGCCAACAACTGCACTTGTCCCCTCGCCTTACAGCTTTGCTTTCTTTGATAAGCAGTCTTTAATAGGCTAAGTATTTCACCTCAACATGCACGATTCTTGCTAACACGGTCTTGTCAGAGTTTGCATGAGTAACGATCAAGGCGTTAATCATCTCTCAACAGACCATAGTGTCCATGCTGTCAGTGCCTGCCATCTTTTTCCGTCCAAAAGGCAGAGAAGAGGAGAGTGACGCGGCTAGAGAGAAATTCGCTGTACCCGAGAGCGATCACTTGACGTATCTTAACGTTTATATGCAGTGGAAGAGTAACAAGTAAGTCAGTTTGTTATTTTATTTGTAGGAAGTAGGAAAAACGAACTAAGCAAATTGTAATGCGATGCTTAAAGATACCGGGCACTTCTGTTTCTAGGGGGTGGCTGTTTAGCGGCGATCGGCCGAGAAGACAGCATGTTGGTTTCTGTTGGTTAGAGTATCCCACGTGTTTCATGAAGCAATTAAACTTTCAATAATTTCAAGTTCTGTCCTGGTTTGCTGTATTTTCCTTGCTTTGTTGGATCCCAGATGAATCTTGAACTTTCTACAACAAGGCTTTGTGTATATCTATATGGCTGGTTCAGGTTGTAATTTTAGTGTTTCGTTCTAATGCAGTAATGGTGAGACGAGGTAGGGTGGGTTGTGAAAAAGTGTGTTCGAAAACGCAAACATACATCGTTGTCATTCCACTAATATTTATGCATTTTCTTTCCTAGCTTTTAGTATAATATTATTGTGTACTTTTTTAACAGTTACTCAGCCCAGTGGTGCAGCGAGCACTTTATTCACATCAAAGCTATGCGAAAAGTGAGTTTGTTTTTGTTCACATGTTTAGAAATTTTGTCTTGTGCAATGTACCACCAGTTGGGATTTTTAACAAGTTTCTGTTCAATTTACAATATTTGTTTGCTTGTTTCAGTTTCCTAGTGTTAAACACTTCGATACTTAAATGTAGTGATTTATTATTTTATCATTTATGTTATTGCTAGAAAGGACAAGGGACTTTTTGCGCAATAACATTTAAAATGTTTTCTCATTCGGATTTAGTATTAACAAGTAAAAACAGATCCCTGTAAAAGCGTTTTCAAAGATTTTAACATATATTAAACCAGTATTCCGAGCTCCTTAAAGCTGATCGAATCCTGTTCAGGTTCGAGAAGTCCGTGGGCAGCTAAAAGATATCATGATACAACAGAAGATGCCGCTGAAGTCCTGTGGAAATGATTGGGACGTCATCAGAAAATGTATCTGCTCGTCCTACTTTCATCAAGCTGCCAGATTGAAGGTGAGAAAGACAACATACGTGAACCGGTAAGAGTTCAAACCGTCTCTCTTGATTAGACGCTATATAATTTTCCTCTAGGAAGGCTAATGGTCAGCGCGCTGGACTCAGCCCTGGTGTTTAGCCCTACCGTCGTGATTGCGTTGTGTTCTTATGCAAGACACTTTACTCTCACAGTACTCTCTCCACCTAGGTGTATAAATGGGTACCGGGGAATTTACTGCTGGGATTGACCTTGCGATGGACCAGCATCCCATCCAGGGGGGGAGTAGAAATACTCCTAGTCGCTAACCGGGATAAATTCCGGTGTCATGCACCACTATCCTGACACAGACGTCTTTCCGAGTTGGTGGAAACCTTCTTAACCTTCTTCAGGCAAATTATGATCAACAGTTACAACACATATCGTAATGAAATAAGATGGGAATAAGCTCCCCTGTATGACAATAAGGGCGGGGGGAGAGGTGGGGCTTATAATCAGAAGACATGATAATATAAGGGGAACTATGAGTATGGGTTATTGACCAAGTGTGAGGTCAAGATGGCTGGATATTGGCCTCGTTCTTTTTTTGCGTGTTTATGGACCTCGACTCCGACTCGGTCCATAAACATCCGAAAAAGAACTTTGCAAATATCCAGCCATCTTGACCTCACGCTTGGTCAATAACCCACATGTTGCCCTCCACTGCCACCTTTATCTCTGGAGGAAAAATGAGAGACAGCTTTCTGGCGGAGGGTATTATTTGATTCATAAAAGTATAAATTATACTTACAAGACCAGGAGCCATAATTACGACTCCTGACACGAATTCATTTTGATTATTTGATTTTTGAATCAGCTTGTGCCAGGATCTCACCATTAATACTAGAAAGAGAAAAAGCGTGTGTAACCTTTTGTTTGATACCACCAGTTTTTGGGAGCCTAGGTAAAACCTATTGTTCTAATGAAGCTGTCAACGGAACTGACAAGAAAATAACTCTACCATTTACCCAATAATCATCCAAAGGGGATCAAATTAAAAATATCGGCTTTTCAGCAGCTGCTAGAAATTTCCAGCTAATTTGTTTCAAAACAGTTGCAATCTGTCCAGCTTTCTGTTTCAGGCTGATTATTTTGTTGTTGCTGAGGAAGAGGAAACAATACTGCTTTTAGCTGACAGAAGACAGACGCAGTCCTGGATTGTCATCCACAAGGTAATTTAAAACAATGATTCATCTTTTTTTACTTAAAACTTCCATCCATAGCATTCATAGTTGCCGAGATGCTAAACGTTTGGCTATCTAATCGTAGAATGAAAATAAAGGGATGTTTTTCTTCAAGATAAAGCGCTTGCGCTTACCTTTAGTTTTTGAAAGATCTAATTAGCATTTGCGCTTTGAACGTTACGGTACGTTTCCTTGTTTGAAAGAAAAAAAGACCACTCATAACATGGAATTGAAAATAATTTGCCTGCAAAGAAACATTCTTTTGATTCACTTCTTCCAAGTTAGTGCTTTTACCTCTCTGAAGACGGGAAATAATCCAAACGAGAAGAGACACACAATGAAGTAATCTATTCCGCACCTGCCTTGCTACAAAGCAACT